ATACAGCTGGCTAGCTAGCTAGCTAGCTAACCGGCTAGCTAGCTGTAGCTAGCTGGCTAGCTGCCTAGGGGGGGGGGGGGGCGGCATCTCACTGGCCCCCTGCGTGTCTTGCTGCCTCCCAAATGGAGCCAACCGTGTAGCAAAAGCAGCAGCAGCAGCAGCAGCAGTTGCTGCTGCTGCTGCGGCAGCAAACTGTCTCGCCATGTAATTTCTTCTGGTTCGCTCCTCTAGAGGCTGACATTGTTTGCTGCTGCTGCTGCGCATTTGCTGCTGCTGCTCGAGCTTTTTCCGCTGCTGCACTGTAGCTGCTGCTGCAGCTGTCGCTGTGCTGCTGCCGCGGCCGCGGCTGACGCTACAGCTGCTGCTGCTGCTATAGCTTGTGCTGCTGCTGCAGCTGCTGCTGCCACAGCTTGTACTGCTGCTACAGCTTCAACTGCCGCTGCCACTACATCTGCTGTTAGACTGCTACTGCCGCTGCATCTGCTGCTGCAGCTATAGTTGCTGCTGCTGCTACAGTTGCTGCTGCTGCTACAGCTGTTGCAGCTGCTGCGGCTTCTGCTACAGCTGCTGCTGCTGGCAGCAAAGACCCTCGCTACAAATCTGCATCTACTTAAAATTCAGCGTTCCCGCTTCCCTCAAGGGGAGTTTGGCGTCATTAGGGTTTAGGGTTTAGGGTTTAGGGTTTAGGCTGTCATTAGCGCGAGAGCTCCACGCTGATGCACCGGAGACAAACAAAATAGCAGCAGCAGCAGCAGCAGCAGTCGCTACGCCTTGTGCGCAGCAGCTTTGCTGCGCTCCACCTGCAGCGAACAGCAGCAGCAGCAGCAACAGCAACTACAGCAGCAGCAGCACCTTCTACGACGGCTGCAGCAGCAACCAGTGCAGCAGCCATGGCTTTAGAGAAGCAAGCAGCAGCAAAAGCAGCAACCGTGACCAGAGCAACGAGCTCAGCACCAATAGCAGCAGCAGCAGCAGCAGCAGCAGCAGTGGCGACAGCAGCAGCAACCATAGCAGCAGAAGCAACACCAGCCGCAGCAGCAACCACAGCAGCAACAGCAGCAGCAGCAGCAGCACGCGCACCGCCGTGAATCTGCCCCCTCCCCCGAAGTAGTCTCTCGAGTCTGACTGCTGCTGCTGCTGCTGCTGCTGCTGCTCAGCCAGAGGGTTGCAGAGCTCCAGCCCCTGCACAGGGGTGAAGCTCAGAGAGGAAGCAAACCCTGTGCTGCTGCTGCTGCCAGATGCTGCAGCAGCAGAAGACACTCCCTTGGGGTGCAGCTGCTGCTGCCGACGGGCACCTGCAGCCACACGCCCCAGCAGCAGCTTTCTGGTTTGCTGCTGCAGCTTTAAGGGTTTGCTGCTGCCTTCCTTCGAATTCGCTGGGGATAAACCCCCCAAGGGTCTAGGGTTTAGGGTTTAGGGTTTAGGGTTTACTGAGCTGCGTCTTCTTCTGCTGCTTCGCCTGCAGCTTCAAACGCCCATTCGCGATGCTGCGCCCCAGCATGCCCAAACCCTTTGCTGCAGCAGCAGGGCAGAATGTCTAGGGTTTAGGGTTTAGGGTTTAGGGTTTGGGTCACTTCGGAGGCCCAGAAAGTCCGCCAGGGCCCAAATTTGGCGGTTTTTCACTGCTTTTCTCTGTCTAGGGTTTAGGGTTTAGGGTTTAGGGTTTGGGTCACCTTTGAGACCCACAGCGTCTTCCTGCTCTCCAAATTTAACTCTATTTAGCTGCTTCTCTCTGCCTAGGGTTTAGGGTTTAGGGTTTAGGGTTTGGGTCACTTATGAGGCCCAGAGAGCGCCCCAGCTGCCCAAATTTGGCGGTTTTTTTCTGCCTAGGGTTTAGGGTTTAGGGCTTAGGGTTTGGGTCACCTTTGAGGCCCACAGTGTCCTCCTGTTCTCCAAATTTAACTCTATTTAGTTGCTTTTGAATCTCCGAAAGTTCTCTTTTTTCCTTCAAACGCCGGTGCCTCTTTCCCCCTCTCTTCGGCTTCGCCCTGTCCTCAGGCGCTGGCAGCGCCTTCTTCACTGGCGCCGGGGGCGGCTCTTGCGCCTGCACCGCAAACCCTAAACCCTAAACCCTAAACCCTAAACCCTAAACCCTAAACCGTGGACCCCAGCTCTAAACCCCGGACTGTGGACCTTGGAGGGCTGCTGCGACGGAGGCCAGCAGCCAAGCGAGGCTGCGGAGGCGTTCTGCGGAGTAGGCGAGCCAATCTCGCCTTGGGTTTAGGGTTTAGGGTTTAGGGTTTAGGGTTTGCACCTTCATGAGGGCCTGGACGATGAAGTCCCTGAGCGCCCTTCCGACTTCGCCGGGCGCCTGCGGGTTGTCAACCAAGCTGATGTTATTTGCTGCAGCATCTTCCTCCTCGCCGTCGCCGCCCGCCCCCGCTGCTGCTGCTGCTGCTGCTGCTGCTGCGGGTTTGCTGCCGTAGACGTCCACTCTTGCTGCTAAAGCCACCTTCCCAGCCAGCAGCCGCAAAGCTCTTTTCCGAAATGGCAAAGGAGTCAACATTACCAAATCGCTGGAGCTCAGCAGCGAAGCAAACGCAGCAGCAGCGCCTCCCTTCGAAGACAAAGACAAGCTGCTGCGCTTCTGCGCGCCCACCAGCTGCAGCAGCAGCAGCAGCAGCAGCAGCAGCGGCGGCGGTTTAGGTTTGCTGGCTAGGGTTTCGGCGTTCGGGCCCGCCCCTAGCACTCTGCTTCCCTCACGCAGAAGGGGCTTTAACTCTACGTGGGGGATTCTTCACTAGGGTTTAGGGTTTAGGGTTTAGGG